CTCATGTTTCTTTTCTCTCTCTCGTGTCTCATTTGCCAAGAAGTAATCTTCAAGAACTCCCATCTTAACTAATGCAGTCAGACATTAAAACCATTACCAATATTCACGCAAGTATGAACTCTGAAATCTCTTCTGAACTTTTACCAACTTGTACAATATACAATTCCAGACATGCTAAAGAAACTTTATCCTTCTAAACTACAGTTTAATAATTACTTTCACTTTATGAACTTAGGTACAAATATTACCTAATCTAAGAGACACAACTCTGTCTAACTATTCAGTATTCATGCATGTATATCAAACGCTAATAAATTCATTTGTTACGTTTTGAAACAAGATGTTTATGAATCATTATTTCTCTATCTTGTATTAATTGTTGTGGATGGAAGATTATTGAACACACACAATTTTAAACCTTCTGATAATTCAAACCTTCTATTCCTCTCTAACACATACACACCACACATCCACAACAAGGAAATTAGAGGCAGTAAACTGTCAGTTGTCATCTCATTCTTTTTACTTTTACCTACTGTTAGTCAAACAAAGCAACACAGTAAATGCTCCCTACTAAGTCTGAAATTCTCCTATAAGCAGGACTATAACAGCAAATTTTTACCAGTTGTATTATTTTTACAGGGTTTTAATCAAATACAATAAAGGAAGAAAAAACTATCAAAGCAAGGAGGTACAGGAAATTTTAAATACTCTTGCCATTAACCATGTTGGCAGCCTTTGATAAGGCTAAATTCTAAATTTTTTGCCCCCACCGGCTAAGAATTTGTCTCTTCTACATCCCCGTTTAAGACACCATGTTTCCTTAATCATTTCTTTGGTTTTGTTCCAAATTGTTATTGCTTCTGTTTGAAAAGTGTTTTCCTAGTTTGTGTATTTCCTAAATAAGAAGATAACATCAATATGAAGCATGGACCTTTTCTTTCATTTGTTATTTGTTTATAGTTTTCATTGTATTAATTCTGCATTTTTGATTCATCAATAGAGAATAAAACATTAGTGTGAAGTGAGAACCTTTCTCATTTAGACCAGCAGTGGAGCTAAATTTTACTGTGATTACATATGGTTGTTTTTTGTTTTTTTTTTTAAAAAAAAAAAAAAAAAAAAAAGTTCCATAGCTAGAAGCTTCTTCTTCAACTTGTTTTTGAATATTTCTTTCTTCCCTTATGTGTTTGACCTGTCCCCAGTAGGAGATTAGGTGGGTCTTTACCATAAAAAAAAATATGAAAGATTATCTCTTTTAGTGATGCCTGTCCCAAGCAAGGAGTCCAAGGCTTAGTTCATGAAGACTAGCTTTGAATTTGTCTATCCAAATGTAATATGATTATTTACACAATTAATTTACAACCTTTTTCTCTTTTTCCAATTATACTCTCTTTATTGCATATATTTTAATTATACGTAAATACACACACACATATATATATATATATATATATATATATATATATGCAATATAATTGGGCCTGTTCTGGCATCTCATCTACAGTCGCTCTCTCACAGATGCGCCGTCACCTCTCTCTGTCTTTTTTTACAAATACTTTCATGGTAATTGCTCTGATGAGCTGCATTTGCTGGTTCCTAGATTTCATGAGTTCCTGGCATCCCGCTCTCACCATTTCACTGTCGTCTCTTCTACTCCCATAGCTTCATGTCTCGCACCTCTCGCCTGTGGAACTCCCTTCCCTATTCCAGTTTCCCTGAGAGCTATAATCTCCAACTATTCAAATGTAATGTCAACTGACATCTCCAGTTGCCTTGATCTATCCACTATCTTTCTCCTCATCCTTTCCTCTATCACTCCTATCTGATCTTGCTCCAAATCTTCTGTAACCCCTTGCATCCTAGTGGCTTCCCGCCTTGCTTGGGGTGAAATGCTTAAAGAAAAAAAAAGAAAATATATAAAATTGTGTGTGTGTAAAATTTATTTTTAAATAATATTTATTGTTTGTAGTATTATTCCTTCCACCTACATTAACTACTGCATTTAATGAATTTGATAACTGGTCCCTTTTTGGTGATTTACAAATCTTTAACGTGATAATTTTATTTTTGGGTTTGAAGAGCAAAAGAAAAAAAATAAAAGGTTAGAATCTTGTTTTTCAATCAGTTAATAACTTGTTTTTAAATATTTCTTTCTTGGTCTGTAATGTAATCGATCCTGAGCTGGTATCTTGATTTCAGTCACTTTCTCATTGACATTACGTGGCTTCCCTCTGTCTTTTCTACAAATATTTTTGTGATAATTGATTTGATGAGCAATTAGATTGGCAACTAGGTCTCACCAGTTTACTGTTGAACTATATAGATGAAACCATCTGTTTTTTTTATAATAGTTTCTTTTTCACCTGTAGAAGTCCCTCCCAATTTCTTGCTTTACTGCCACCTACAATCTTCAAAAATTTGAATGCAACACCAATCGCCAGTCTTCCTGAATCCCATCCTGTATTGTCCTTTTTTCACACTTCTTCTCATTAAAGTCTTCTCATTCTCTTTCACTCCCTGTAACCCTTTGCCCCCTTGCTTCGTTTGGGGTGAAATGATTTTAAAAAAATATAGTTGCTGTAGAATTTTTCATCTTGCAGTTTTAGTTTTCTTAGATTTCCTCAGCTTTTACAATCTTAGTTTTATTTTGCATATACCTCAGATGTAATCACCCCTGCAGTCAGCACTTGAGCATGTTTCAATGGACAAATAATCCACAGACATCTTGAATGTTCTTCAAGCAAAGTGTTGGTTGTTATTTGTCCATTTTCTGTACATCATTGAACATATTATTCTTTATGCTGGGTTCATGATGATGACTCTTATTTCTTGTGACTCTCTCTAAGATTTGGAATTATCTGATATAATGTAAGGCTTGTTTTTTGTTGCTTTCTGATGTCAATGTATATATCACTGTGATAGCCATATTGAATGTTTTTGTTATATTCCATGCTAATAGGAATATATACTTGAAAAACAAGGTGGATAAAATAAGTAAAGGTTTATTGTAAAAACCAGTACAATAAGAATAAAGGTAACAGTTATGCGCAATGTCGTTGCAAGTCAATCCAGTAGTGAGTGCAACTATTGGAAGGTTGGTAGTTCTCAAGTAAATATAAGTCATACTCAACAGATCCCAGCTAGTCTTGGTAGTCCATTGATTTACAGATACTTATAGGCAGTTACTACCTATAGTGTAGTCACTCATGGAGGTGACAAGTTATTCCATTACATCAGTTTTCTATAGGGCTTTGATAGTGGCTAATATTCCAAAATGCACTTCCTGTTGTCTTCCTCCGATATTTATTCATCCTCTTTCATTCTTATCTTTCCATAATTGTATAATTTGGTGATTGTCATGTATAAAATCCCCATTATTTTTCCACCTCATAATATATTCTTTTCATATCCCATTCTTAAAAAAGTTCCATTTGGTTTGCTACATTCAAAAGAGCCACTGTTTTGTGTAAAGAGCGTGTCTCTGATGACTATAACCCTTTTAAATCTAGGGTCAACTATTATTTATCCTAAATATCCTCATGATTTGTATTTCATATCTCCTCCTCTTACATCAATAAAACAATATTCACTAACTCTCTAACTTGAGTGACTCTTGAGCCTTGCATTGTGTGAAAAAGTGTATAAAAAAATGGTCATCTTAAGTTATTTTGCCATTTTACATTCAACATTATAATTATGATCACTGTTTAAATGCAGATAGTAATATGAGTTAAAGATCAAATATGGATCGGAATCTGACAGGATGATAAGATAAAGAACAAATGGGAAATGTATATCAATCTATCATGATTCACATTTATTAAAGCTTTGCCAGAGATAGAAAACAGACAAGACAGAAGTTTTGGCATTTTCAATTTTGTCTAGGTCAATTCTCATTGGTCAGTCACATATCATGTGCATTAAAACCATAGATAAGTCTATATGTGTGTAAGTTTGTAAAGAATCTTGCATGTCTAAGCAGGTATTGTATTGTAATGTTTATTCGTAATTGTGTATATGTCTCTGAGTAGTTCTAATGTCTTAACTTTTATGTGGTCAGCCAGGGTGACATTCTACTGTAATTGACCCACAAACAAAATTGAAAATACCAAAGGTTCTGTCTCTTACTCAGTTTTCTCTCAGGCTCTAATGAAGTTTTAATAAAAGTGAAAGTAATATGTCAAAAAGATCTTTAAAAAAACCCCCAAAAAACTATATTTAAAAGGCATGATTATGTTCACACACACACACGTGTGTGTGTGTGTGTATATATATATATATATATATATATATATATATATATATATGAAGAAACCACACTACCTGGATTTCAATCACTACATCTCCTCAGGCCGGTTGAATTTTTAACTGGTCTGAGGAGATCTAGCAATCGAAAACCTGAGTAGCATGGTTGTGAGAGATTTTTTTTTTTTTCCAAGGCAACTCACTCTGCATTTTATATCTTATATTTCATAGCATGCACCAAGCACTTTTTAGACGTTTATGCCTTTCTAGGTGCCCCCCTCTTTTTTTTTTAAAAATTTATTTTTTTGCCCCCTATTATAATAAATATATATATATATATATATATATATATATATATATATATACACACACTGAAAACTTGATGTTAATAATTTATATTAGCATTTATTATTTTACCCCCACAGAGCTTAATAGAAAAAAAATGTATAATTTTTTTGGCCTCTGTATTTATTAATTCATAGGCATTCCACAAACACAAGATCGACTCACTGAATTTGCGCAACGGTAAAAGCCTGTATTTTTATCAGGGGCAAATATATCATTCTGTTTGTATATGTATATTGATATACACAGTAAAAGATGTTGGGTACTGATATGAGAAAATACATGGTGCATTTGTATGGTTGCCGGTGTCCTCTATGTGCTGAGTTGGGCAGATTAATGTTTTTCGACCAATAATCTCCAGAGATATAAAGTAATATCGAGTTTCCACTGTGGCACAAATCCAGACTTTACTTTCTTGTCAGTTGGGGCCCTCTATTACCTGTCACGCCCAAACCTGTATTATAAAAGAAATAATACAGAAGAAAAAAAAAAGTAAGACTGTTGTGGTAGAAGGGGGGAAGATGATGACCCAAAAGTAGAACAAAGGTTGATTGAGAAAAATGAGTTGATAAATAAGGAGGAAGATTAAATGCAAAATGAAAAGAATCTGAAAGAAAATGATATAGTAAAAGAAGAAAAAAGAAAACATTAAGAGGGAAAAGAATGAGTAGTAAGAGGGAGGAGACAAAAAAGTAATAATAATAGTAAGAAAAAAAAAACAAAGTAATGAGAAACAGAAGGTAGAAGAAAAAAATAAGAAAATGACATAAAAAATAAGACTTAGAAGAGGAAGAAAAAAAACTTGGAGAAAGAAGAGATTGGACTTAAAGAATAATACTTGGAAAAAGAAGAAATAAAATTTTGAAGAATAAGAAGTGGATGGAGAAGGATGAATAATATTTGGAATAAGGAGAAGGATGAATAATATTTGGAATAAGGAGAAGGATGAATAATATTTGGAATAAGGAGAAGGATGAATAATATTTGGAATAAGGAGAAGGATGAATAATATTTGGAATAAGGAGAAGGATGAATAATATTTGGAATAAGGAGAAGGATGAATAATATTTGGAATAAGGAGAAGGATGAATAATATTTGGAATAAGGAGAAGGATGAATAATATTTGGAATAAGGAGAAGGATGAATAATATTTGGAATAAGAAGGATGAATGAATAATATTTGGAGTAAGAATAAGAATGAATAATATTTGGAGTAAGAATGAATAATATTTGGAGTAAGAATGAATAATATTTGGAGTAAGAGTAAGAATGAATAATATTTGGAGTGAGAAGAATGAATGAATGAATAATATTTGGAGTGAGAAGAATGAATGAATAATATTTGGAGTGAGATGAATGAATGAATAATATTTGGAGTGAGAAGAATGAATGAATAATATTTGGAGTGAGAAGAATGAATGAATAATATTTGGAGTGAGAAGAATGAATGAATGAATAATATTTGGAGTGAGAAGAATGAATGAATGAATAATATTTGGAGTGAGAAGAATGAATGAATGAATAATATTTGGAGTGAGAAGAATGAATGAATGAATAATATTTGGAGTGAGAAGAATGAATGAATAATATTTGGAGTGAGATGAATGAATGAATAATATTTGGAGTGAGATGAATGAATGAATAATATTTGGAGTGAGAAGAATGAATGAATGAATAATATTTGGAGTGAGAAGAATGAATGAATGAATAATATTTGGAGTGAGAAGAATGAATGAATGAATAATATTTGGAGTGAGAAGAATGAATGAATGAATAATATTTGGAGTGAGAAGAATGAATGAATAATATTTGGAGTGAGAAGAATGAATGAATAATATTTGGAGTGAGAAGAATGAATGAATGAATAATATTTGGAGAAGAAGAATGAATGAATAATATTTGGAGTGAGAATGAATGAATAATATTTGGAGTGAGAATGAATGAATAATATTTGGAGTGAGAATGAATGAATAATATTTGGAGTGAGAATGAATGAATAATATTTGGAGTGAGAATGAATGAATAATATTTGGAGTGAGAATGAATGAATAATATTTGGAGGAGAATGAATGAATAATATTTGGAGGAGAATGAATGAATAATATTTGGAGTGAGAATGAATGAATAATATTTGGAGTGAGAATGAATGAATAATATTTGGAGTGAGAATGAATGAATAATATTTGGAGTGAGAAGAATGGATGAATAATATTTGGAATAAGAAGGATAATTAAGAATTGGTAGGAAAAGAAGGATAAATAGGAATTGGTAGGAAAAGAAGGATAAATAGGAATTGGTAGGAAAAGAAGGATAAATAGGAATTGGTAGGAAAAGAAGGATAAATAGGAATTGGAAGAAGAAATAAAAGATGAGCATGATGTTGAGGAATGTACCAATAAAAGAGAAAAATATCTGACAAAAAGAAGATAAAGGAGCAAAACAGAAAAATAAATCAAGAAGGAAAACAAGATGGAGAAAATGAAGGAAATGTGGTGTTAAACTGAAATAAGACTGACAGCAGGCAGCCTTTGGTGTTGGGTTTCTGGAGATTTATATCTGTGTAATGTGATTGGACATTTCAGCTTTGCCACCAATGGGGTGTCTACTGATGAGACAAAGTTTCACAAAGGAAACAACCAACCAGAAACAAGAGTGAAGCTGTGCTCAACATGTGACAGTATGAACATGAAGCAGACTGGCAGAAATGGATGGAGGGCTATAAATGAAATCTAGGTAATCAAGTCAATTTATACAGTGTGGAATCAGAAAATAGACTGATATATTAAAAGTAACAGTGATTTGGCATAACAGTAAATGGGGGGAGTCAGAGAGAGGAAAATAAATATGAAATCAGAGGGAGGTGAAATAGAAAGCGAAACACTTTATGATGAAGAAAGAAAAATAGTGATGAAAAAGAGTATGAGCAAAAGAAATAATTGAGTGAGAGAAAAAGGGATTTTATTAAAGAAATAGAGAAAATGAAAATGAAACAGAATATGATAGAGGCAGGAAGTGCTAGAGGGAGAGACAAAAAGATGTATTAAAGAGAGAAAAATAAAGGAAAAGGAATGAGAAAGGAAGCAAGTGCTAGAGAGAAAGAGACTTATAGAAATGAAAAGGAATACGAGGAAGAAGATAACTAACGGTTGGAGAGTTCATTACTTCAAGAAATGAAAAGTGATAGACAGAAGCTAAGAGAGAGAGAGAAGCTCATTTCTTATTGAGAGAGAGTGAGAAAGTTATGAAACAATATGAAAGAAGAAAGGGTTAAAAAAAGATTTTAAAAAATAGAAAATGTCAGGGACTTTGTTAATGAGGGAGATAAAAAGGAAGTGAAATATATGACAAAGAATATATAAAATAAGAGGCATGAGAGACCTGCTTTTGCACAGAAATGGTGAAATGAAAAAAAAATCCATTTGTATCACAAAGTAAAATAAAGGGAATAAAAAGAAAGCAAGAAATGATATCTGAAAAAATAAAATAATGCCAAAGAAAAAAAAAAATTAAATAATTGAAAAAAATAGTTGTCGAGAAAAAATCGTCACTAACAACAAAATGGAGATTAAAGAAAAAATTTCTATAATGATCGGTGGCGTATACATCAGTAAAAATGAAATAGAAGAAAAATAAAAAATTGGATAACTTCATAAATTTGTGGAAGTTGAACAAGTCAGAATAAATACTACATAAGTGTAAGCAGTAAAATAATTGAGATTGAGGTGATAAAGGTGTGTGGCCTCTCCTTAGCTAGTAAGTTGTGTGGTAGGTTGTGAAGAACCCTTAACTTCTAAGGCCTTGTTAAGGTTCCCAGCTGTGAATTACTACAGAAGTTCTTCTTTCAACTACAGATAGGGAAAAATAAACAAACAAACATCTTGGTAGAAATAACATATAGAGGCAGATATGCACATACATTGCATGCGATACACACATTAGTGGCTTTCAATGTTTACATCATTTAAAAAAAATCCTTTATTCATATAAATTGCTAAATTTATTCAGTCATTAAACTATTTCCCAGTGAAATTGATTAAAACAAAATCCTTAAACTTGATTTTAACTTAAATTTTGTTTGTAATTTGGTAACTTATTACCAAAAGACAAAGAAATTCCTTCTTTGAATGGTACCCTAGCTTCTCATTCCAGTTTATTTCTCATATCATCAAATTCTTTGAGAAATTAATTTTCAAATGTTATGCCAAGAAAATTTTTTGGTGCAAACTGGGAAAAGTCTCCTACAAATACCATGTTCTTGAGAATATAAGACATGCAAGGTATAAGAGGCACCCTTATTTTGATCATATTTTTTTTCCAGAACTATCATTGTAAGTATAAGATTTTCATTGAACAAAAATTATATCTGAAATTCATAAAGAACACCTAGAAATGAACTAAACTCTGCATGTCTATTTAAATATATTTACATATGGTTTGTGCATATTACACATGCATGCATACATATATAAGAACCATATTGGAGAAAAAAAAATTATGACATTGGGAAAAAAATTTTGCAGCTGAAGTCCTAAAGGACAAAATGCAACACATGAAAACTTTTTCCCCACTTTATGTGATGGAATAAACTGTCACTCCCATGAGTAATTACACTATAGGTAGTAACTAGCTAAACATTCAAACTCTTTGCCTTCGGGCAGAGAGGAACCTGGACGAGGCTCCACTGAAGGGCAGAATCTCATTCGGGGAGGTTGACTGACCCTGGACCCGTTTATACGGGTTCGAAAGGGAATATTTTTGGCCAAGTGTACAGACTCGGAGAACCCACGTTAAACCAGCCTTGTGCCACATGCAACCCTCGTAGTGGGGTAGCTAAATATGCTAGCTGGGATCTGTTGAGTATGACTCAGACTTAGGCAAGAACTACCAACCTTCCAATAATATCAGTCACTACTGGATTGATTTGCGATGACTTTGTGCATAACTGTTATGTTTATTCCTGTTGTACTGTTTTTTTTTTTTACAATAAACCTTTACTTATTTTATCCACCTTGTTTTTCAAATATATATTCCTATTAGCATGGAATATAACAGTTATATATTTCCATCAATCCCAACTCTATATAAAAACATTAAATCATGAAAGGATGGCTCTAGTTGTAACCAGAGTTTCATGCACACATGCTCTTCAAGTCATCTGAAGATCACATCAGCATGAAATTCAAATTAAGACTAAAGCCATCCTTTCATAGGATTTAACATTAAGCATTATTTTGTTGGTCTAGGTAATCTAGTCTTCGAGCACCTTTCTGATTATGTAAGTTTGCTGCTAGGCCTTTTATTTTTCCATTCTTCTTTCAGTATTCTCACTTTTATTTGAGACTGTATCTGGATGAGAGTTTTAGGTTTTGGCAAGTTGTCTGTTGGTTCCATTTTGTTTTTAAACATAGCAGACTCATGAAAGAAATTCAAGAGAAAAAATAAATAAAAATAATGATAATAAAAATAATAATATTGCATATTATTAGGATATTAGACAAAATGAGAAGCATGAGAAAAGATGCTAAAAATCAGAATTTTCAGATATGTCTTTGTCCTTTCTCAATGAGAAATGGATTTTTTTGTAGAAGGGGATTTTTTTTTTTTTTCACATGATTTCATACCTACAGTGTCTAGGACACAGATTTTGACATCAAATTTTAGGATAAGAAGTCTGTTATACACCAGAAATAGGTTGATACCACTTCAACAAACTGCTTCAATAATCAAATCTTAAAGCTGCTACAAAACATTTACTAGATTTGGCATGTTAGTGTTGATATTTGTGCACCAAATTCTATCTCTTTGACCATCCATTGTGATTCCAATTTAATTCTTGGTTTTACTGTTTTGCTCACAGAAAAAAAAAACACAGGAATTTTGTTTCTCTTGACTCCAGTTCCAGTGATATATGCAGAATGTTTATTTCTCCACATATGAGCTAACAGCGCTCTTTGTATTTGACATTCTTGAAAATATTTGCTAAATTCTGATTTCTTTTAAATGCACAATGCATATTTATTGCCATTATAAAGAATTAGCTCTTGAAATTTTCTTCATATGAACTTGCAAATCTTCTCCATTCTCTTGTTTTCTAACTGATGCCGAGTTTCTTCACTAGTCTCCTTATGTCGGTGTCATAAACCAAGAATCTTTGTTGAAATGAGGTGCAAAATCTTTTTCTCCTTTACAGTACCAAGAGAAATTTATTCTTGGATATAATAATTTTTTTTCTTTTAATCTGGATTTCAAGAGCTCTACAGCATTTTTGTGGAAGCCATCATCTTTCAGTAAATCCTTAAGTTCATCTTGAGAGAAATACTATGACTTAGAACATGGCCATGTTGGAACATATTCTTTATTTTCTGACTAGTACTGGCAAAAATCCTGAACAAAAAGTAGAAAATAACACATTTCTAAATAACCAATATTGGTAAATCAGATCCATGGTGATGGAAAAAAATTATAAGTAATTTAATTCATTAGAAACAAAGTATTATATCATATTGGTTCTCCTATATGGCAGTGAATGCTGGGTAATCTCCTCACAGATGAAGAAAAGATTTGAAGCAACAGAAATGTGGTTCTGCAGAAGGATGCTGAGAATATCTTTTACCAAATATGTGAGCAACAACAAAGTTTTAGAGAAAATGTAATTAAAAATAACACATATTTTCAGTCAGGTAGAGATAGAGATTTTTAGGGCAAATAATGAAGAAAGAGGGCTTGGAAAATTTGATATTCACAGAACAAATTGATGGCAAGAAGGATAGAAGAAAACCTACTTAACCTACCAAGCAAACTTGAGTAAATAGATTGTGGAGCAACCTTTACAAGAGATAGCAAAAAGACAATTTACTAAGAGCTACAAAGGACAGAAAATTGTGGTGAGCCATGATTTCCAATATGCTGAAGATACATGGCACAGGAATTATAAGAACAATTGTGACTATGATTTTTGGTTCCCCCACAATTATGTGAAGGTTAGAACTAGTGGAACTGAGGAATGTAGTTCATCTGAACACTTACCATGGAAATAGCAATAGAGCAGCAAGAGGCTTGTGATGTTTCATTTGTAGGAAAGAGGTTGTAGAGTGGAAAATCATACATGAACCACAAGGATGCGGAGACACTTTTGGACTTTATTGAGAGTAGAAAACTGGGCAGCTGTATTCTTCAATACAAATCGATTACATGAATTTAAGTGTGCTAATAGATTGGCATCTGGGTCCCACCCATTTACTCTTGAAATACATAAATGTAACCCCCATTTCTACTCCAAACAGTCTGTTTTCTAATACTTCCCGCCTGTGGAACTCCCTGCCATTTACTTGCTTCCCTCATAACCACAATCTTTAGAAATTTAAATGCAATATCAC